AGAGCCAAATTACATAGCAGCATCATAATTATTGTCGAGCATGAGGCTTTTTTATCATGATCAGCACGATCTGAGAAAATGAGTCACAAAATTTATTAGTTGCTGAGCAGGTATGAATAAACCGCATACCACTCGATGCTCAGGCATTAATGATAACATTCTCCCCCTAAATTTTGTTGGGGTAGAAGTTTTGTCGAACTTAAAGAAAGAAACTAGGAGTGAAGATAATATTCTCACATCATACTGTTCTCCATTTATTGCAGTTATGGGGAACAATGCTTGTAAATCATACTTCCTTAGAGCATAATTTAACAATGCCATCACGAGGGTTCCGACGCGTGGTTTGCATTCAAGTTCTTCGAATTCTTCCCTCGTTGTGGCCCGATTCTTCTCCTTAACCCTGAAAAACCCTTCTAAGTTCCAAACCAACAAGCCTCAATACAACATACAACACGATGGTTAAAACGCAGGATGACAAAATTTGAAAAGAAGACTCAATATACATATTTGCACTCTTGAAAAGCGTGTTTTTTTTTTTGTTGAAATGAGGCCATACATAAGAGAATCTCAACCATATTCAAGATTATAAAATAGGAGTATGGATTATTTCTACATTTGTTCTATATGTGTATTATAATATGTCTGATTATTTTTGTTTTTGCAAAATATAGGATATGATAGTTTTGGGATACACACGCATGCAAATTTATAAAACACAAAAAAAAAAAAACATAATTACAATATGGGAGATGACGATTGAGACTTCTTAGAAGGCTAATTCAAATTAGGACTTCATACAAATTTTATGGCGAAAATGTAGGGAAATGAGTACTGAATTTAGAAATCCTATATTGAGATGCCAGTTGCCTACTGGCGCTTGCTAATAGGAATAGTATTAATCTCTCCCTTCCCTAGCTGTCAGCTGTAAAAAGGATCGATAGCTTCATTAAAACATGCTGGAATTTTAACGTGTTTGTGTGTCCAAAGAAGTCATAGTGTATACTAAGATGGGAACTTGAACTAGTAAAATGGCTAAGAAGAGGAGTCTTGAAACTGACGGTTGGAGAGAAACATTGGAGTATTTATGTGTTTTAATTAGTTAGTTTCATTTCATCATTAATTGGTTTTAAGAGTTTTAAACTGTTTTAATTGCATTAAGCAACTGTTAATCAATATTTTGAAACTGCCCTTTTACTTGTCACTAAGCTGTCTTTAAATACTATTATGACTGCCCAACAGTCGCATGTTTTCTGCCTTTAAAAGGCAATGCCTAGCCTGTGGCATCTAGCCCCGAGCTCTTGGAGTTTCCAAGCTCCTCTCCTTTTTCTCTCCTGAATTCAATTATATTTTTGCTGTTCTGCCATTACGTTTTCTACAGGAAGACTTTATTTAATTCTGGGGAGTACTGTATCTTAATTTACTAATTAAGGGATTGTGGGTGTTCCCAAGCAAAATATAAGTTTACCATTTCAATATTTAAACACCATTAAAGTAATCCCACACATATCCACTAATACTTATCTCCTTGGTAGGGATCTGAAGCAAGATAAAATGGCAATCTAGAAGAGTAAAATATTCTAATAATTAGAGATTTAATATCACCAACAAAATTTAAGTTCACCAAAGAAAAGCCATGAATTATTGATCAAGGTTTTAGAAGCATCCTATACATATGGCAGATTTAAAAATAATTTTTCTTAAAAAAGTATTTTGAAGCCTTCTTTAATATGGATTCAATAAGTACATGCGCATATATATCGGCATCAAATACGACACCAATATGGATACACATCAAGCAATTTGAAGCATTGCTGCTGCAACCATTACTTGATCAGGCTGGATCAGAAGAATTATTTGTTTGGGAATCCATTTTTCCACGTATGCTCATAGAGAGAGGATTGTTATAGGAAGCTTTAAATGCACCATATGAAGGGCTCGTTTGGATACGAAGGACAAAAAACTTGTCATGGCCGGTTGCAAGCATGAAATCACGGAAAGACAATATGCTTGCAGTGGTAAAGAAGCTGAACAACGAAAGATTTACTAGGAAGATGAGTGCTTTTGAAAGCTAAAGGGTTCACCGCTAGGAGATGGAGTGGAGACAACCCAATCTTATTGCGCTTGATCATCATCTCATGATGATCTTCATAAAGGAAAAACTATTTCAATTGCCACAGCTGCAAAATCGAAAACAAACCATATGCACATGAATAAATAATGCACTAAAACACGGCAATATATGAAAGAATTAATAATTGTTTCTATTTACCAATATGCCCTTCTTTCATTGCACAATAAAGAACAGTATCGTCGTTGTCCCTCCTTATACAGTGAGCAATGTCGGCTGAAGAAACTCCAGGACTCCCAGTATACAGATAATGAAGTGAAAGAAAAACTTTTGTGTGACCATGAAGAGCCGCCATAAAGAGGGGTGTCTCTCCAGCGTTGTTGCGTTTAGCATAAATTAAGAAAGGGTATTTGCCACCAATCTTTTACACATTTAGCGTTTCCCATTAAAGCTGCTTGATGCAAAGGAGTGTTACTATTGAAGCCCAACACCGAACATCACAAAGCCCAAATGACTAATGGGCTTTTACGTGGATTTTTGTCATTCTAGATTTTTCTTTTCTGTCCATATTGCTTGTTATACATCTCACTGTCTATATATAGTGACTTACTGTACACCTTGCTATGCAAGAAATAAGATACTTCATACAGCATTAGCTCCTTTGTGTTTTACTGTCTTTTTTGTGTTTTACTGTCTTTTCATGGTACTAGAGCCACGTTTCAAAATATGTCTTCCTCACCTAGTCTCAATACTACCACAATCACATCTTCTCCCATGTCTCCCTCTTCCTCCTCCAATCCCATTAATACTATCTATGTTCCTCCTTCTAATCTTCCCCACTATATCACAGTCAAACTTACTCGGGAAAATTATCTTGTTTGGAAAGCTCAAGTTATGCCTTATCTTTATGGACAACAATTGTTTGGTTATATTGATGGCTCTATTCCTCAACCTTCTAAGCTCACTTCTTCTGGTCTTCCAAATCGAGACTACATCACTTGGTTTCATCAAGATCAACTTGTTCTCTCTGTTCTTCTTGCCTTGCTCTCTAAAAAGGTTATTCCTCAGTTCATTCGTCACAGAACTTCAAGAGCTATGTGGCTGGCTTTAGAAACCTCTTTCTCTCAGCAAACTCAAGCCAAACTGGTCCATCTACATCAACAAATTACAAATCTCAAGAAAGGAGGAAAAACTATGTCTGAGTATCATAAACGAGCTACCATTCTAGCTAATTCTCTTGCTGCCACAGGTAAACCCGTTGCTGATGATGATTTTATTACTTATCTTCTTGTTGGACTAGGTCCCGAATTTGACACTATTGTTACTGTGCTTTCCACCCAGCGTACTTTTCTTTCCATAGAAGGTTTTTGAGCCACCTACTACAGTACGAAGAGCGTATGGCTCCTCAGGACCCCGTTTCTCTCTCTTCTGATATTTTGGCTAATTCAGTGGTCCACACCACTTTCATGCCTACTGTGAGAGGAGGACGTGGTGGCAGAATCTTTTCAGGAAGAGGTTTTGGTAGAGGCTACAACACTTTTAATTATGGTAGAGGCTATAACAACAACTTTGGAAGAGGTCATGCTTTCCGTGGTGGTCCCTATAGAGGCCGTACTGGGGGACGAAATTACAGAGGAAGTGCTCGTTTCTCCTCCTTTCAACCAGACCAAGATGTGCCTTGCCAACTCTGTAGACGCTTTGGACATTCTGCCCTCACTTGCTTTCAGAGAACTAATCATGCCTTGCAAGCCTCTCCACATCTCTTTCCTCTCACTACTCTGAATATTCAAACATGGAGGACTCACTATGGTATCCAGACACTGGAGCAACTCACCACATGACTCATAATTTTTCAAATCTAAATCTCAACTCTGCTCCTTACTATGGCAAATTTCTTCTTAATGACCTTTTACATATTCCTACTATTTCTAAAAATTTAATGTCTGTTTATCAATTTTGCTTTGATAATGATGTGTTTTTTGAGTTTCATTCTGGTTATTTTTGTGTGAAGGACGAAAAGATCAAGAGACCTCTTCTTCAAGCTCCAAGCCACAATAAGATGTACCCCTTTCTTCCTTCCGTCTCTCCTCAAGCCTGTTATGGTGTTCGTACCTCTCTTTCACATTGGCATTCTTGTCTCGGTCACCCAGCTCTCCGCACTGTTCAGAAAATTCTCCAGTCAAACTCTCTTCCAGTTTCATCAAAAGATTTTACTCATCAATGTGCAGCTTGTCGTTCTTCTAAGAGTCATCGTCTACCTTCTCCTTTATCATCTCATAGTTCTACTTTTCCATTCCAACTGATATTTTGTGATGTCTAGGGTCCTTCCCCAATATTATCTGTAAACGGCTTTAAGTATTATGCCTCTTTTGTTGATGATTATTCCAGATATATTTGGCTTTTTCCCTTGAAATCTAAGAGTGAACTTCGCACTGTCTTTCATCAATTTAAAACTCTAGTTGAAAATTTTTTTAATTCCAAAATAAGGTCTTTTCAGTCAGATTGGGGTGGAGAATTTCGACCATTAAACAAGGATTTAATTTCCTTTGGCATTAATCACATAATTATATGTCCTCACACTCACACTCAAAATGATACTGTAGAAAGAAGACACAGAACCATCGTGGAAACTGGTCTAGCTCTAATGCAACATGCTTCTGTCCCTCAAAAATACTGGACTCATGCTTTCGATACAGCTGTTTATTTACTCAATAGGCTTTCAAATCCAGTCTTGAATAATAAAAGTCCATTTGAATTGATATTCAACTTAAAGCCTGACTACACTTTTTTGAGAATTTTCGGTTGTGGATGTTGGCCAAATTTGAGGCCCTATGCTCCAAATAAGGTAAGCCCAAGATCTCACCTATGTGTGTTTCTCGGCTATGCACCAAATCACATGGGATATCTTTGCCTTCATCTACCTACAGGACGCATGTACACTTCAAGAGATGTTATATTTGATGAGAATTGCTTTCCTTTTACAACCCAATCCACTACACAACCCAAACCATCTACCTTAACCATTTTGCCTTCACTTCCCTTACAAACCAATATTTCTAGCCCAAACACGGTACCTAGCCCATCTTCATCACAAAGCCCAAATGCTCACACCATACGTAACCCAAGTCAAAGCCCAAATGAATACACCACACCTAACCCAAGTCAAAGCACTCTACCTAACCCTATTCCTTCTTCTTTCACTTTGGCGTCACCTTCTCCCTCCTCTAAGCCGTCACCTACTTCGTCCTCTTCCCCACCAAATTCTGCAATGTCAAATTCTGCACCGTTCTCACCATCACCTCAACCCCCTCAACCTACCCATCACATGATTACTAAATCTAAAGCCAATATCTTCAAACCCAAAGCTCTCTCTCCAGATTTTGTTTCCACCGTACACCCAAAAACATCTCACTATGCCTCGGGTCCCATGCCTACTGTTCCTACTTCAGTTGCTCAGGCCCTCAAGTCTCCGTCATAGTGCAAGGCTCTAGATGATGAATTTCAAGCTTTACTTGCTACTCAGACATGGGAGCTCGTCCCTTCTTCTCCTTCTATGAATATCATTGGGTGCAAATGGGTCTTCAGAGAAAAATTTTTGACGGATGGTTCATTCGATAAGTGCAAAGCTAGACTTGTGGCAAAAGGTTTTCATCAACAACCTGGAATTGATTTTGCTGAAACCTCCACTGTAGTGAAGCCTGTAACTGTCCGACTTATACTTTCCATTGCTCTCTCAAAAGGTTGGTTCATTAATCAATTAGATGTACGTAATGCCTTTCTCCATGGTCATCTTGATGAAGAAGTTTATATGCATCAACCTCCTGGCTTTGTTCATCCTAACTACCCAACACATGTGTGTAAGCTTCAAAGAGCCATATACGGTCTCAAACAAGCCCCACGGGCTTGGTTTGCTTGACTTAGTGCCAGATTATCTGAGCTTGGATTTCTGCCTTCAAGGTTAGATTCTTCCTTGTTCATTTGCCACAATTCTAAATGTACTATTTATGTTTTGATTTATGTGGATGATATTATTGTCACTGGATCTTCTCCCATTGTGATTCAAGAATTGGTTGATGCCTTAAGCTGTTCTTTTCCAGTCAAGAACCTCGGTGCTTTACATTATTTCTTAGGTGTTGAGGTTACATCTATCTCCTCTGGCTTAGTACTTTCTCAACAAAATACATTTTAGATCTTCTTGACAAAGCTAAAATGTCAAATGCTCGTCCTGTCTCCACACCCATTGCCGCTAATAGTTGTCTTTCAGCTTATAGTGGAATTGACTTTGATGATCCTCATTATTATCGAAGTATAGTAGGTAGTCTTCAGTACTTAAGTTTTACTAGGCCAGATATCACCTTTGCTGTTAATCGTGTATGTCAATTCATGCATCAACCCAAGGAACATCATTGGACTGTAGTGAAGAGGATTCTCAGATATTTATGGGGTACTTCAAATTTTGCTCTTCATCTTAGAAAATCCTCTTCATCTCAACTACATGCCTTCTCTGATGCTGATTGGGGTGGTAATGTTGATGATTCAAGATCCACAACTAGCTTTGCCATTTATTTTGGTCCTAATCTAGTAGCATGGAGTTCAAAGAAGCAACCTATTGTTGCTCGATCAAGTACTGAAGCAGAATATAAAGCCATAGCTACAACATCCAGTGATCTGATATGGCTTCAGCAACTCCTTCATGAATTACATATTGTTCTCTCTGAGGCTCCATTTTTGTATTGTGATAATCTGGGTGCAACTTATCTAGTTTCTAATCCTGTATTTCACTCTAGAGCTAAACATATAGCTCTTGATTATCACTTTGTCAGAGAACGCCTTGCTGCTGGTCTTCTCAATGTTCTTCATGTATCTTTAAAGGATCAACTGGCTGACATTCTTACTAAACCACTACCATCATCCAGATTTGCCACTCTGAGATCGAGTCTCACCGTGCTGCCAGCCTAGTTCCACTCGCGGGGGAGTATTGAAGCCCAACACTGAACATCACAAAGCCCAAATGACTAATGGGCTTTTACGTGGATTTTTGTCATTCTAGATTTTTCTTTTATGTCCATATTGCTTGTTATACATCTCATTGTCTATATATAGTGACTTACTGTACACCTCACTATGCAAGAAATAAGATACTTCATACAGCATTAGCTCCTTTGTGTTTTACTGTCTTTTCAGTTACCATCAGCATTCTGAGCCCCAATGACACGCTTCTTCTCATCACCATTTTCATCCACTTCCGGCATCCCATCCTTGTCATTACTTCCCTCTCCACAAACAAAATCCACCATGGATTCCGCCATCTGCTCTTTCCCATGAGACACCACAATGTGTAATACGGTGTCTTCTGTGTCCGTTTTCTTGGCTGTGCGAAGCTCTCTGTTTTTCTTGCACCTTTCAAGGACTTCTGACCACTTGTCTTCATTACAAAAGTTCTCCACGTCTTGAAGGTCGAAGTCATTGTCTCCTACACAATTGGCTGCAATGGATATTAATTAACTAACATGGATAATGTCTTATGTTGGATAATGGATCAAGCCTAATTAAAACCCTTTTGGCTGAAACCAATTCCACTTTCAAGCATGCTTTCTCACTTGAACTAAAACAGTAGCATCTTCATATGCGCATTTTCAACTCTCAGCTGTATGCATATACTATATTGAGTTAAACTACTCGACTCAACTCAATTTCCTTAATTATCAACGAATATTTATCCAAACAATAACTAGCACACGTCAATTAGGAACTAGAAAGCTCCTCACTCTATCCCTTTAGTACAAGTCTACAATAGAAGTGTAGCTTGAATTCAGGTATATTTTTAAAGTCACAGGACATGTCAAATTCATTGATATATTTTTCAAATAATAAAGATTTTCAAACTAAATTGCAATGGTACGGTGTAAATGAGAAATATATACATATATATATAGGTCATAGCTAGTTATTGCATGGAAGTCGGAGACCAAACAAGAATCCTAAGTACACAATATAATCATGGCACCCAATTGAACGTAAAGAAGAAAAAGAAGAACATCAATCGGAACATGAAAAGGGGAGGATTTACCACAAAGATATAATAAATCAGAACCTGAGCCTTACTTAAAAAAATAGCAAAATGAGATTTTGACTCACAAACCAAATCTTGAAGTTCACCAGAGATAAGTAGAAAGATCAAAGGTGAGGCGTATAAGAAAGGAAAACGAAGAGACTTTATAACAAGCACAGCACAAAACGCAAAACATGATGACTAATTCTTTCTTGGATGTTGCTACTTTTGTCATCTTCCCAAATTTAAAAAAGTTGGCAATAGTGATAGAAAGTTGTCATTTTTATTGTTTAACTTTAATTAAACATAAATAGGAAGATGATTTTTCATTTTAAAAATTATCAATAACAATAAAAAAAATAATATATGTGAAATTTTCAAAAACGCATTATGTATAAATAAAATACAAATAAAAATAAGATATATAATATAAATAAAAATGTTCAAAATATTTTTAATAAAAAAGAATATTAGTTATTAATAAATATTTGCATATAATAAAAAAATTAATATAAATATTTCATAATATATTAAATTTTTCACAAATGCAACCGATTTGAAAGAAGAAAAACAAGTTACTGATATGAAGAAGTAGGGCCTTAGCAAACAAATATATAGCAGAATGAGATTGTAACTGCGCCAAAATTAAATCTTAAAGGGATAGGGTCTATTTGGTATGAGAGAAATGGAAGGGAGACGAGCGGAGGGAAAATTTTAGTGAGCCTATTTAAAAAAAAAAAAAAATTAAAGAAGTGGGATTAAAATTTTTTAATTAATTTTTCTTACTTTTTTGTCTTACATTTTCTTGGCGGGAAAGAATAAAGAGGCATCACATAGAAAACAAGTAAATTATCCTTTTCCGAGCTGGATATTTTAATAAGAATAATATTGATAACATGACCATTTGCTTTTTAGAAGGTTTGATTTTCTCTTTTCACTTTCTTTCTGAATTTTTTTTTTGAATTATAAGGACAAAAATTAATGGCCAGAGGTTACAGGTAAGGCTCAACCTGTGATGTTCCACTTATAAAAGCCTCAATGCTACTATACCAAAAGGATATTAATCTTCTTTCTCAAATTAAAAAAAAGAAAAGCAATATGGAAAGATAAGATATAATGGTACTATGATTCATAGAGATATAATAAGACACTCAAGACTTCTTTTCAGGGAGAGCACACGTTTGAAAATGGGAAAGCTGAGATAAAAGTGTCATTTATTGATTGGAACTGAATAAATAAATGAAGATGATAATGTTATTTATTTTGCATATGATTGAAATTAAGTAAAAAAATTCGGTAAATCATAGTATATAGATTTATTGCTAGACTGGAGAGGTAAAGTTTGCCTGCGAGAATCACCTGATGCTCAATTATATATATTAAACACAAATGTCGCTGGGTAGTTGAAATTGAAGTAATAAATATGTAGGAAATATAATTTTTCTTTAAAATATGTTTTTCTTTATAGGGAGATAAATGAGAAAAAAATAATAAGAAGAAAAATGATGAAAGAGAATATGTGTATTGATGTCATTATTGTGAAAATCACGTCATGCTCAGTTATAATATATTGGACACAAATGTGTTGAAATTTTTTTGCCAGAAAAATAGCACTATAATTCATGGAGATAAAATGTAATACTCACGGAGTTTCTTTCACGGGACACATGTTTCAGAAAGGGAAAGCTAAGATAAAAATGTCGTTTATTGATTGGAACTGAGTAAATGAATAGAGAATTAAATAAAGATGATAATGTTATTATTTTGCATGTGATTGAACATGACTTCCTTTATAGGTTCTAGATTTGTTGGAAATTAAAGCGATAACAATAATATCATTTTAGCATGTCATTCTTGAGAGAATCACGTGGTGCTCAAATATATATATATATATATATATATATATATTTATGTATATGTCGAACACAAATGTCGATGGGCAGTTGAAATTGAAATATACTACCACTATAATTCATCGGGATATAATATAATACTCAAGAGTTCTTTTCAGGGGATGTGAATGTTTGAAAATGGTAAAGTTAAGATAAAAGCGCCGTTTATTGATTGGAAGGAATAAATAAATAAATAAATAAAGGTGATAATGTTATATTTTACATGTGGTTTAAACTGACTAAAAAATTTGGTAGATTTTTTTGTTTTTTAAAAAAATTTGGTGGGTGATACTAGCTCCAGTCCTTAATATAAGAGCTTATTTGACTTTTATTTTAGTTTTAAATATAAGATCTCAATCTATTTTGTCTCTCATATTTATTCATTTTTTCTCAAGGTGATCTTTATAATAATGGTAATTCTAATCAATACACTTGATTAGCAAAGATATTTTAAGAAAGATGATACCTATTTACTACAAATAACTAACTTAACTAATTTTCTTAATCTACACAAATTAGTCAACTAGTTCTTATATTAAGGACCGCAGCTAGTATAAAGATATTTTGTCAGATAGTAGAGGAGATGATAAAGTTTACTTTATCGTTTATGGGTTTATGGGAAATTAAAGTGATAATGTCATTCTTGAACGTTATTAGAAAACTTCAAGAGATAAGATATAGTATCCTGTAAGATTGTTACGCAAAATTCTTAAAACCAATAAAATGTACTATATAAATTTGAATTCGTAAAATAATAAAACAAATTCTTTATAAATAATGTGACTTCTATTTAATACCCAAGCAATATATGGAGCAGCATTTTTATAACTTATAAGTAATGTATTTAATTTTTTAAGTGAAGATGCATCCAGCATCCTCAAATATTTTTTTTAAGTATATCTAGTGTTCTAAAATATTTTATAGTACATACAGCGTGTTAAACTATTTTTTCATGTGTATCTAACATCTTAAAATATTTTTCCGTGTTGTGATTAGGGGGTGAAACATTGGAAAATAGACATCAACGTAGGACCCGTGAATATGGGTAGTGAGACAATTGTAAGGAAGGCAATTGGCGAGCCAAAAAACGCGTAAATTTTAAGGATTTGTCAAGAAGCATGAGAGAGATCAAGAAAGAAACAATGTGAAGCATGAAAGGAATGAATCTCCAAAAGTTAAGGGATTGAGAACGAAAAGCAGGAACGCCCATAAACTTTTAAAAATATTTTATAAATAATTTTTAAATTATTAATCTAAACCGTTGAAATGAATTAACCTAATAGTTAAAAAATAAGAAGAGATAAAAGGATGTGAAGGGAAGAGGAGAATCTCCTTTCCCAATATGTTGCACCTTTTAGATTGTTGGTGGCATCTCACAAATGTTAAAGGTTTGTCAATTGGCTTTTTCTTATTTTTACTGTTCTAGCTAGTACGAGAGTTTAGGAAAAAAAACATAGAACGGCAAAATGAGTTAAAATAAAAAAAATTGAAGTAGTAAAAAGTAATGTGTAAAATGTGTTGTTCTTCCATATGAAAACAATAAAGAAGCCATCTCACTTGAAGTAACATTCACTTTACTACTCGTTCTAATTTTTATTACGAGGATCTCCGATATAATGTAACATATCTTGCCTAAATTATCAATTTTTTTTTCACTTAATATATCTAATTAACTATATAAAACTTCCTAATTAATTAGTCAAGGTTTTCCAACTAATAATTTTTATTGAGATGATTTTGATATTTTACAAAATATAATTAATTTTAACCAACTTTATTAATTTATATAAAATTATTATTAGGTGTTTATAATAAGGGAGAATCCCAATTAAATCCAATGGAAATACATAAATCCAAATTGAGAGCTACACTTTTGATAAATTTTTAATTAGGCTATGAGGCCTCATTAAGAATTTCTGAATATATTGTTAAATAACTAGAATGCTCCGCTTTAATTAAAAAATTGATTATTTTATCCCTCCCAAATGGTTCCTCTTTTCTCTTATGATTTTTTTGGGACTAAAAAACACATAAATAATATTATAATATTTAAAATTTGTATAGATATAACCAAAACTTCTAAAATTATTTTAATCAAACATTTTAAATTACAATATAAGTACCCTTTAAATAAATATTTTGTATCTTCAGGTTGCAAATATTTATTTTTAAGATTTTGAAATATCTTAATTATAAAAAAAATACTTTATATTAAGTTGTAATTAAAATATTTTAAGATCTTAAAATAAATATTTACAAATGTAAAATAAAAATATTTATCTCAAGACTATTTATGTTGAAATTTAAAAATTTTTATTAAAATATTTTTGAAGATTTTAGTTATCTATCAAATTTTATACACTATAAAAAAAATTTTAGTGTTTTTTGGTCTTAAAAATAATCATAAGAAGTGAGAGATTTTTTGGGGAGAAAAATAATCCATTATTCATTTTAATTAAAAAGAAGTATTCTGGTTATTTAACAATATTCAAAAATTCTAAATTAGTGCTCATGTCCTAATTAGGGATTTATTAAAAGTATAAGCCTTAATTAAAAATTTAGATATTTTAACAGGATTTTATTGGAATTTCCCTTTATAATAAAGATAGGAAAGAATATTATAAGCTGAGAGACGATCGCATGGAAGAAATCATCCATAACTGGTGTACCATATTTATGATGGGCCAAAGCTGAAAGCATTTCTCAGGGTTCACTTGGTGCCATAGATCATGAAGTAATACAATGTACCACGTACCTTCCTAAATATAGAACTTATTTTATATTGTAATAAACACTATAAATTAGATTTTATATTTAAGTTGAATGTAGTACAATAGTTTGTACATTATCACATTAAACATGCTTGGTTGCTTTTTTATAGATTAATTATCTTTTCAATGTAAAACATGATTATATATTTACATCAATTCAATAAAACCTTTTTTTTGGCCGGCAATTCAATAAAATCCTTTTAACATCCAAAATTAAGATGAAAGAATATTAAATCAGTGTAATCCTTCCTGTAATACTAAAATGCCCTTCCTGAAATTTCCAAACTAACATGAAATTTCAAGAACTACATAATATCAGAACCATGCCGCTTGTGGCGGAGTGAATGGTTTTTATCGTATCACCAGCATGCACCCTTCGATCTCTCATTTGCAAGGTCATGGTTTTTACGTCATTTTCCCTAATCCCATCAAAAGTTTCCCCTCAAGACCCGACATATTAGGGAAAAAACTGAGGAAGAGAACAAATAGGCAATGAGTAGTAGAATCACACCACATTTTAACTCAATTTTAAGGCTTGAGTTTACGAATCCTTGCACTTTATTATGTTTTACTCATGAAGGTCAACTTAAATTGATATGAAACTTTCGTAATTAATCAATTTAATTCCATTTGAACATCCGAATACTTATAAGTGATAATTATCCCAATAAATTAATTAATCGATTCAACTAATTAAATTACTCAATAGGCTTATTAGTTGAACATTATGAGAACCCCGAAACCCATCACTGAGGAAGTTATATAAGTGAGGTTGAAAGGATATAATAATTATAAAACTCAAACTACATCATGAAGGAGCAAGATACACTAATATATATATTATTCCAAACAGAAAAGAAATAAAAACATCAAGCTTTTAAAAATAAAAATGATGAAGGTTGGTGTCATTTGAATAATACAAGACAATTAATTTTGATGGTTCAAATCTGTGCCGCTTTCCTTGTTCTTGGTGCTTAGGTATTCAATGGGATGAGTACGCTTGCGTCTTGGGGCAGGAATGGCAGACAATATGGGAGCAAAGAATGTGGGGAGCTGTGTGATAACCAAAAGGACGATCATTGATGACATGAAAATAAAAATTGGAAGAGCCTTGCGCAATTTTTGATCGTCATCATCGAACATGAAGAAACCACCAGAACAGAAAGAGATCCACAAACAAGCAATAGAGTAGAACATCAAGAACATAGCCCAGTAAAGTTTTAAAGGAAGGTATCTCCAAAAGTGAACAGATTGGGAACGAGAAGCAACTATGGACAGAAAGAAGATGGTGGAAATGAGGGAGAAGAAGAGGGCCGCAATCGAAGAACTTACGAAATGTTTGAATACTGGTTTGTTTCTTAGGATTGCAAAGCCCTCGGCATTATAACCACCTGGCACAGTGTCTCGTGTGGCGAAGGCCACCGATGCAACGAGGGTCGACACCACAGAACATGCTTGTGAGGTTTTAGCCACCCACCCTCCCTCGTGTTTCATAATTTCCTTGTGACTCTCTTTAAAAATGTCATCTGGGGTCTCCATTTTCTGATTGTATGTCTCCAACATACCACGGGGCATTGTATTCTTCACAAGCTGCGTCACCATGTATATACATCTACTTACTAGGTGTATATATTTTAATATCAAATAAATCTTTGAAATAGTTATATGCTTTAATTCATTCATTAGTATGAATTTCTTGTTGAGTATTTTAATTTTTGTGTTGATCTCATCAATAGCAAATATATAGATACGCACCTCAAACCAGTTGATTTCCCCAGACATGAGGAGTGTTTCCCCGGGATTGAGCCAATCAAACTCCACTCCCAGCCTTGCTGCCAAGTGTAATGCATTGTTTCCCTCTTTATCTACATCCCAAAATAGGCTTTCACTTAGCCATTTCTGCTTCCACAAAAACCTATATACTTTTGTTTGCCTATATTCTGCTGCTAGTAGAACTATGTTCTTTCCCTCAAGATTCACATCTTTAATACTTGATGGAAATAATTCTAGAATCTTCTCCACCATTTCTACTGCTCCATTCTTCACAGCAATCATTAGGGGCGTCTCAATAGTTATTGTACTGGATGCTGGTGTCGTCATTAACTTCAACTCTATGCACCAATGCCATTCACAATCCAAATCATAAAATTAGTTTATAATCGCAAAATTTTTTGGGAAAATAATATGCTCATAGTGTTTACCATTATATATACACACACTTATGGTAAATATTCGACTATCATTGCAAGGCATCAGAAGAATGAGGACAAGAGATTTACAATAAGTACAGGGCATATTTACAAACGCGTCATAAATTTGTCATAAAAAAATTGGTGACCATCATTGGAGGCGATGAATGATTTATATGATTCCAAAAGTGTCAAAGTCCTGTATATGAAAAGTATAATAGTAATGCTCCATATTGAAATTTTCATGAATCTTTTTACCATTATCATCTTCTGGTTGCAAGGAAATCGAAAGCTGCTCAGAGACCGTTCTCCATATGATTTGTGACATATCTTTATCTGATGTACGCCGAAGAAGTTGGTTCATTATTTGAAGTGACCATTTGTGCTTCTCCTTCATCTTTCGTATCTGACGGAACCATCTCCCAAGGACTACATATATTCAGGATCGTTATGTAGGTCAGTAAGGACCAAAAAGTAACTTATGATTATATATAATTAAAATAAAATATGTTTATTTTAGACTTTTTCCCCAAAACGGGTTCTTACCATATCTAGATTTAACTCGAACCAAACATGTAAAAGAAAGAAAGAAAAATATATATACTCGGGTGGGTCTCGTGTGTTAGGGTGAGACCCACTATTCTTCTCTTATTCTTTGTTAATTGGTACACAAGTTGTGTGGACAAAAACTTAATCCTTAAATGATAACCGATGAAAAATAAGAAAAAAGTGAAGAGGGGGGAAAAAGAGTAAATTACACACGCAAGCATTTATGCATGCATGCGGGCACAACTTTAATAAGTTCAGATTCAAATATGAAATATAAATTTGTGTACATTCAACCAATTAAGAGGGTTCAAAATTGTAATAGATATGGGGGCATGATTAATTATTATTTATTATTATATTTATTTTTCTAATTTAGCATATAAAACTTGCATCAAAAGATTTTCATTAAATATCATTAATCATTAATCAATATCAGTGCGCCTATATGTATGTATCTACATGATTTTCATTAAATAAACTGTACACGTACGCTCTTACATGACATGGCCTACCTGCTTCAGACCCTTGTAACAGCATGAATAACGCGACGCATAGCAGCAACCACCGAATATCTTTCCAATTTTCTGCAAAATATTAAGTCACAAAATTTGCTAGTTTCTTAACATCTTAATATAAGAATAAACCATATCCCACTCGATTCCCAAACACTACTTGTTGAAATTAATTGTCCCCCCTCAAATTTTTGTTGAGTTGAAAAAATTATAAAGAGTGAAGATAATCTTCATACGTTGGAAATGTAACTCAAAAAGATTTAGAGTTCTAATAGTCTCAACTCCTCCTCCGTCCTTACTCTCAAATACCTTGAAGAAGAAGTGTGTTCAATCATTCTTCTTCCAATAACTTTTATTTTAACACAGCTATTTTTTTATCGGAGACAATTCAATGTGGTGCATTTTCAGAAATATTTAGAAGCCTTCGTGGGTGGGCAGAGACAAAATGTTGTAAAAAGATTCATTATTTAAAAGAAATTTATAATTTACATAATTAAAATAAAATATGTTCATTCTACACTCGTCCCTCCCCCCCCCCCCAAAAAAAAGACAGTTTCTTTCCAGATCTAGATCTTACTTGAGCAAAACACACACACACACACACACACATATAGAGAGAGAGAGAGAGAGAAGTTTATATATAGTTTGTTGGGTCTCACGTATTAGGCAAGACACACTATTCCTCTCTCCTTTGTTCAAGGAAAAAAACTTACTCAAGTGTTGTCTTTGGTCAAATAAGAGTCATGTAATTGATTAATTATGACATTTGTTGCCAGGTACATAACAAATGTCGTAATTGATCTTATAGCACCTGTTCTTTTATGACAGACGACATGAAAATTATTACTCCTCTGGTCCTTAATATAGGATCTAATTGTTGAGTTGATTTTGGTTCTAAATATAAGACTTGTTTATCATATTTATCAGTTTTTTCTAAATTACTCATGTGGATACTCCCTTAATCATAATCAAGTAGAAGAGGGAATAAGGATATTAAGAAAGATGATTATAGTGTTTAGGAAAAAACATATCATATTTTTTATAATTAACTAACTTATCTAACTTCTTTAATCTAATTAAATTAGTTAAATTGGTCTTATATTAAGGACCGAATGAGTATTTTTCCCTGCTACTAAACTCATATTAGTTACAAAGATGTATTTTTAACCAACAACGAATATATTATAATGCATTAGTTTAAGAGAAAAAATAGAGCAAATTAGACACAAACATGTATGTATGCATCCATGCATAACTTTAGTCAGTTCAAATCAAAATATTACGTAAAAAAATTGTATGTATACATTCAATCAATTGAGTGGGTTCAAAATCCTAATTTATGGGGGCATCATCGTCATCATTATTTAATTTATCATATACACACATACATAAATAAACTTGAGTGGGGACAGATATATACACAGGTCCGCATATATATATATATATATATCGTTCATGTTATTCCGAGTCAATCATTTTTCGATGCAAATTATACCATCAGTGTGGGTCTTTATATGCATATGCGCATGCTTTTCGTTAAATAGACTGTACATGTTGTGAGCTCTTGCTCGACATGGCCTACCTGGTACAAAATATTGTGACAGCAGGTATAGCAGGAGGAATCGCAGCAACCAATGTATAAACTTGATAAGCTTGACCAAAATTCGATATATAAGAGACGATCCTGTTTGAAGTAAAATTAAAAATATTCAGAACTCATATGCAGATTAAGACAGACAAAATGTTTTAAGAAATTTATTATTTAAAAGTAATTTATAATTATACTACATCTGGTCCTAATTACAAGACCTTATTTAAAAATGAGGTCTTATAATTAGAACCAGAACTAGTACATAATTAAAATAATATATGCTCCCTTTAGACTATTTTTTAAAGATGGTTTCTATCCCGATCTAGATCTAATTGAAACCAAAGATGTAAAGAGAGAGAAAACTGTTCCTTGATTGGTCTCACGTGTTAGGTGAGACTCACTATACTTCTCACTTTCTATTTTTATTTGTACTCCTTGAATTGTTTAGTCAAATAATCAATGGTAAATACAAATAGGGATAAAGTACAAATTTGTCCCGAAAGTATACAGCCAGTGTTCAAAAGTTTTGGAAGTCTCAATATCACCTTGAAAGTTAAAAAAAAAAAAAGAAAGAACATAGCAATATTGCCCTGTCTTTCACATCACCCTTCACCTCATCATTTCCCACTTTCTCTCCCCAACCAATCTCTCTATCTTCTACTCAGATTTAACCGGAAAATTCAACCAGAAAATCAACCAACATACTGGAAAATTAGTAAGCAAGCAGATTTCAACAAACACAGGAATCAAGAACCCAGAAAAACACAACTCAAATTCATCTGAAATAAGCAAGCATATTTCAAGAACCTAGAAATCAACAAGAAAAGAAGATGAAATCAACAAGAAGAGAAAAACAAGCAAGCAAATCAGAAAGCACAGACCCAGAAAACAAATCATATCCCAAACTACTCGGCTTCACCAGAGAATAGAAGAAGAAGAAGCACAGATGCTGTTGCATCAACCACCATCCTAAAGTGAAAATCTCATATTGCTTGCTTCCAACCCCTCCTGCATCCTCTTCAATGTCAGATCGCCATAAAAATCCAATGTTTCTCCCATAAGACTTATCGCCATAAACAAAACACTTCTAGCTTCAATAATCCACGCCATAATACTCATCTTGCTACCTGTTTCCCCCTACATCTTTTTCAATGTCAGATCGCAAGCCCCCCACCTCTCCCTACTCTTCCCACTTTGCCCATCTTCTTCAATGGCTGCTTGATGAGATGCTCCGCTTCCTTCACTACGAAATGAACACCTTCAATGACAATGGAATGGGGCACCAACCACGTCGAGCCCTCCCTCTTCAACCCATCCAAGCTCAATGTTACTCAGTAGGTTCAAGTTACTAAATCTAATTGATGGTCGAGGTGTGTGTTTGTGTTAGAGAATGATGCTGATGCCGCTGCGGGATTGCCGGTCTCCGTCTTCCTCACCGTTTGCAGGCTGCGATCACCTTCATCCCTCTGCCCCAGATCTCACCACTCTCATCGAATAAGAAAACCATCAGCACCAAAATAGTGTTCCAACCAGCTTCTCCGTGGAAGGATGTGAAGACCGTGTCCAGTAGCTGACAGCGTCCGGTTATGGTGTCCGACGTGAAGACCCCTTAGGAACTTGAAAGGACGAGAGAGAGAGAGAGAGAGAGAGAGAGAGAGAGAGAGAGAGAGAGAGAGAGAAGAGAGAGAGAGAGAGAGAGAGAGGATTTTTTTGGGAACTTGAGGTTGAGAGAGATAATGGGAGATGACGAGGTGGAGGTGATGTGGCAGAGAGGAAGGGAGAGATGACGAGGTGGCATGTCATGTGGGACGACACACAAGCAATCCGGTCAAATTAACAGTCAAAATTAACTTGGGTAACGGTGAAGGTAATATTGTTACATTTTTTAAACTTTCGTGGTGAAATTGAAACTTCAAAAACTTCCAAACACTCGTACCTCCTAACTGTATACTTCTAAGGCAATTTTGCACCTTATCCCATGAAAAATGGGAAATAAGATAACAAATGTAAATTTGACCAAAAAAACATGTATGCATGCATGTTTGTACGCTTTTAACAAATTAAGTTTAAGACGTTAAATATCTTATATCTTCCAAACATCATAGTTTCATATTGTCAAAAGCAAGTTGTCTAGGCTAATGTTAACTAAAATAGATGCACTATTTTTTGTTGTGGACTAAAGGAAATAGCCAGGGAGTAACTTGTAAAGCGTACTTACGTTTTTGCAATTCTTCAAGCGAAGTGGCCCGATTCTTCTCCTTAGCTTTCGAAAGCCCTTGAAAGATCCAGAGAAACAAGCCACATGCGTATTTTATTTTTATATATAAAAAGTACAATACACTCCCTCATATCTTTAATATATGAGCTATTTCCAAAAATGTTTGTACATCTAATTGGTTCTTTGCGTGGCATGTTTCATTTTATACATATTTGTATTCTTGACAAGCATGTGGCCTTTAGTTTTGAAATGAGGCTATACAAAGGAGATATAATCTCAATCCTATTCAACAGTATAAAATAGTACTTTCAAACGTTGTCATAGGAAGCTCATAATGCATCAAAAGAAAGCCAAATGAAATCACAGACACACACTTGTATGCACACTTACAATAAATTGGATGGCCAAAGATTGATAGTTCAAGGAGGGCAGTACTTTCGAAAGCTGAACGTTGTGCTGCTAAGAGATGAAGTGGAGACAACCCTTCCTTATTGCGCTTCATCATCTCTTTCAAGTGATATTTATAAAGGTAAACTATTTCGATGGCCACATCTGCATGTAGCAGTACTCAATCATAAGTACATTAATTAAAGATTATGTGAAAGAATGAATGTTAGCTTAGATTTACCAAAATGCCCTTCTGCAATTGCACAGTGAAGAATGGTATCATGGTTGTCCCTTATGCAGTGTGCAAAGTCAATTGAAGAAACTCTAGGCCTTCCCATATACATATAATAAAGCCAAAGAAAAGCTTTTCTTCTGCCATAGAGAGCTGCCAGAAAAATGGGTGTCTCGCCCACAGTGTTGCGCTTAGCAATTAATAAGGGGTCCCTACCACCAATTTTCTTGCACATTTCAACGCTCCCCCTTTTTGCTGCTAAATGTAAAGGAGTGTTCTTTCTATCATTCTCAGCGCCAAGAATGATATTCACATTCCAGCTCTCTTCTTGAACTAACAAGTCAACCATCTTTGCCACCACGTGCTCTTCCCCATGAGACACAGCCATGTGTAACAATGTGTCTCCTGTCCCCGTTATCTTGGCTATACGAAGTGTCCTTTCTTGCTTGTATGTTTCAAATACTTTTGACCACTCTCCCCTCCTGGCATAACTTCGCAGTTGCTCCTGCTGGTTTCCTTCACTCATTGCCTCTTGCAGATTAAACTCAAATGGTGTAAACGAGATATATATGAATTGGTTATAGTTGTGAGTTGGAGCATATGGGGAAAAAATATATACATGACATCCACAAACAAGTTAATAAATATGAAATATTACTAATTTAAAACTTGCTAATCAATCTGATTATTAATCAAGTAAATATAAACAGAAAATACAACCATGACAGCCAAAAGAAGATAGTAAACAACGTGAAGAAGAAAAAGAGGATGAATCCAAAGATGAAAAAGGAAGGGATCTAGCCAAAAAGATAGTAAATGACACAAAGAGGCGGAGCCTTACTGAAGAAATAGCAGAAAAATGAGATTGTATGTGATTTCACCAACCAAATCTTGAAGAACCAAAGATGAGTAGAAAGATCAAAGATTAGGTGGAGAAGAAAGGTAAATAGAGAAGCATTATATAGATAACAAATAAGTTGATGTAGATCATCCCTCCCGCCATGAGCTGCATTTTAAATTATATATATATATATATGTATGTATGTATTTATGCATGTATGTAATATAATATAGCAAGCCCAGCGCAAAACGCAAAACAACACGACCATTTTCTTCTTGGAAGTTGCGACTTAGCTGGCATTATGACCCAAGAATCAAGATGTTTTATAATTTAAAAAGACTTATCTAACAAGTGTATTAATATGACTTATATTGACTACACTACTACTCAAGACGGTGCGTTGGTGCATAGTGGAAGTTTTTATATGGCTAGCATATTAGTTGGCAAATAATTATCATATTTCATATATAGTATCTTATATCAGCTTTAATTAATACAGAAAACCAATAAATACATTACCAAATCCTACTTATTTTAACATTACCAAATACACTATTATTCCTCATGCCGTCGTCAATGTGAAAACAAAGATACTTGGTTGCAGAAATTTAATTATTTCTAACCATTTAGAAGTACATGTAATAATAATATAATAAACAGATTTAAATAAATGATAAATAATATGTGAAAGTCTTTGGAACCGATTTAAATTGTATAATAAAATCTAAATAATCTGGCTCTCATTTTATGTCTCTCATTTTTTTTTTGGATAACAGAAGTAAATAAGATTTTGTATCATGTTTCTTATTTTTTTTTATATAAAATTAAACAAAGGAAGATGGTTTTCCATTTTAAAATTATCAGAAAAGTTTATTTTAACGTTCCACCCTCACTGAATAATATTCAATCGTCAATGGTCAATGGTCAATGGTCAATGGTCTTTTTATTAGTCTAATGTATCAAATATAGATAAGAGTTAAATTGATTTGGGCAATAGCGTTTAAAACATTTCGTCAAGGCGTCAACCCTTTGTCCTAGAACCCAGCTGGCATTTTTATTTTTCAACTTCAATTAAACATATGGGAAGACGGTTTTTCATTTTGAAAATTATTATCAATGCCAATAAAAAAATTATACATGTGAAATTTTCAAAAATATATTGTACAAATAAAAGTACAGGTAAAAAATAAAATATGTAATATAAATATTAACGTACATAATATTTTTAACAAAAAAAGAATATTAAATATTAATAAATATTTACATAAAATAAGAAAAATAAATGGAAATATTTCATAATATATTAAATTTTACATGTGCGTTTATATAATACAAAATTAATATATTTATGCTTGTGTTTGTGATGTAACATAATATATATCAATATATATAATATAATTTTGCATTTTACGTTTACATGTAACATCTTAACTAACAAAGGCTTTCATCGTCTACGCGCGAGCGCAGGGGCCCAAACCACAGCTTTGTCACGAATGAAACCAATTTGAAAGAAGAAAAACAAGTAACTGATATGAAAGAAGTAGAGCCTTGCCAAGGAAATAGCAGAATGAGATTGTAACTTCACCAAAATTAAATCCTAAAGAACAGGGAAGGAGTAGAAAGACCAAGTGGAAAAGGGATATAAATTCCTTGTCGTGTCTTTATGTCATGCAGAGCTCAGTGTAATTTGAAAAATAAGACTTTTATGATATTTCCATATTTAATTTATTTTTAATTATAATAGATTAATCTCTCTCTCTCTCTCTCTCTCTCTCTCTTTATGGTTACACTTGAACTCTAAATAACCCACCGACCCAGATCCGGTGAATTATTGGCGGGGAAAAATAAAGAGGCATCACATAGAGAAAACAAGTAAATTATCCTTTCCTGAGCTGGATATTTTAATAAGAATAATATTAATAAGATGAACATTTGCTTTTTATGATTTTCTCTTTTCACTTTCTTTCTGAATTTTTTTTTTAAATTATAAGGGCAATTAATGGCTAGAGCCTAGAGGTTACAAGTAAGGCTCAACATGTGATGTTCCACTTATAAAAGCTTCAATGCTACTGTACGAAAACAATACTAGTCTTCTTTCTTGATTTTTTTCTCAATTTTTTTAAAAAGAATAAGCAATGGGGAAGGATAAGATAAAATAGTACACTATATATAATCCATAGAGATATAATAAAATACTCAAAGAGCTCCTTTCACGGAGCACGCATGTTTGAAAATGGGAAAGGTAAGATAAAAGTGTCATTTATTGATTGGAACTGAATAAATAAATAAATGTGATAATGTTATTACTTCCTCGTGCCTTCAATATTATAAACGTTAATTGACTAATTTGAGTATATTAAAAAAATTAGTTAAGTTAGTTATAAAATATCCTTCCTAATTAAGTCTCATTTGATGAAACATTTAACATGTACAATTACTAAAAAAATTGCCTTGAAAAAAAATATATATATATACAAGACAAAGTGGATTGGGATCTTATATTTAGGGCCAAATTAAAAATCAAAGTAACTCTTAGAAACTAGGGGTAGCATTTTGCATGTGATTGAAATTAGCTAAATAATTCAGTAATTACACTACCTCCGATCCTTAATATAAGAGCTAGATGACTAATTTGATTGGATTAAAGAAGTTTGTTAAGCTAGTTATTTATAATAAATTCATGTTTTTTTTTAAAAAATATTCTTACTAATCAAGTGTATTAGTCATAACTACTATTATTATAAGGACTAATTTGAAAAAAATAGATAAATATAAAAGACAAAATAAATTAGAGTTTTATATTTAGGATCAAAATAAAAATCAAACAAACTTTTAGACTTAGAATTGAAGCTAGTATATAGATTTACTGCTAGACAGCGGAGGTAAAGTTTACTTGCGAGAATCACGTGATGCTCAATCATATGTATGGAACACAAATATCGATGTTTATTAGTTGAAAAGAAAAAAATCAGAAAAAAATAATTTTTGAATTTCAAAATTCTAGATTAGAAATTATTACAAAAATGTGTTATTTAAAGATAGTTATTGTTTTTTTTTAAGAATATAAAAACCAATACTGATTTGAAATTTGAAAATTCAATAGTAATTTTTTTAGGATTTTTTCAAAATCAAATAGTACTATAATTCATCCAGATATAAAACACCCCCTTCTCGTCTTGTGAGATCTAACAATCGAATTGTGTGATTTAAAAAACTATTAATATTAGTTAAAAATAATAAATATATAAGAAATATTTTTTAAATATGTTTTTATTTATAAGGGAATAAATGAAAAAAATAATAAGAAAAAAAATGGCGAAAAAGAGTGTGTGTATGCCTGTTGTTACTGTGGAAATCACGTCATGCGTTATCGAGGGAATCACATCATACTCAGTTATTATGTGTTGGACACGAATGTGAAATGTCAATGGGTAGTTGAAATTTTCAAACTAAAGAAATAACACTATAATTCAAAGAAATATAATACTTTCAATTCTAAATATAAAAGTAAGTCGACTATTTTAAAAAAAATTTAAAAAGTTACTGAATTAATTTAATAATAGTATATATCACATTATCTCTTTAAAATACCATTATAACATGTCGTTGTTGAGAGAATCTCGCGGTGCTCAATTATATATACTGAGCACAAATGCCGATGTGTAGCTGAGATTGAAATAGTATTATAATTCATGGGGATGTGCATGTTTGAAAAAGGGGAAGTTAAGATAAAAGCGTCCTTTATTGATTGGAAGTGAATAGATAAATAAATAAAGGTGATAATGTTAATATTTTGCATATGGTTTAAACGGGACTAAAAAATTTGTTAGATGATACTACCTCTGGTCCTAATTATAAGAGCCAGTTGACTAATTTGAGGAGATTAAAGAAGTAAGTTGAGTTAGTTATTTGTCCTAGATAGGTGTTGTCTTTCCTAAAATATCCTTACTAATCAAGCATACTAACTAGAATTATCATTGTTAGAAGGGCTACTTTGAAAAAAAATGTAAAAATATGAGAAACAAAGTGGATTGGGGTCTTATATTTAGGACCAAAATAAAAGTCAAACAGGATCTTATATTAAGGATTGGAGGTAGTATATAGAATGCCAGACGGAAGAGGTCTAGAGGAGATGATAAGGTTTACTTTATAGGTTATGGATTTATGGGAAATTAAAGTGATAATGTTGTCATTTTAGCATGTCATTACTGAGGCTTATTAGAAAATTCCAAAAAATATAATATAGTATCCTATGTATAAGATTGTTAATTACGCAAAATTCTTAAAACCAATATAATGTACTCTATATACTTAAATTCATAAAATTATAAAGTAAACTATTTATAAATAATGTGACTTCTATTTAATACCCAAACTCTTATAACTTATAAATAATAAATGTATTAAATTTTTTTCCATAAATTTTATATTGTAGGCAGATACTCCCTGGGCTATATATGTGTATAAATAAATGATAATCAATTTGGAGGTAGTAACTTGTATATGTCATAGGGAAAATTTCATCTAAATCCCCCGCAAATGCTGCATAATTTCCCGTAGGTGCCAAAAAATTAGGAAATTTGAATTCATTGTTAAAGGATGAAAATGAAATTATTTTTTGAGATGAAATAACCAAAATGCCTATTTTTTAAAATAAAAAGTCAATCGTTGTTGCCAGGGCTCTGGCCATCACAAAACATTTTTACAAATGTAGCTAGGGGGGGCTTGAAATCATGACCCTAAACTCACTAAAGGGCTTGTGACCGCCAATTCATTAAATCCATTTAGTTGAGTAAAAGTTTATAATGTAATAAACTAAGTTTCCTAATTTACATCTTAATTCTCTATGTGCTGTTGTTAATTTCCTTATATGTGCCTCTTAATTTGCTCACTGTCGTTGTTTGCATATATTCACTTGTAAGATTTTGAGAATCTGAAAAGTGAGAGTTGTTAATTTTCTTATGTGTTGTTGATTCTTGCTAATTGTAGTTTTTTTATTCATATATTCATGGATGAAATTTTGGGTATATATCTAAAAAATGAGGTGTCAATTCCCTTACGTGCTGTTATTAGTTCTCTTATCTGTACTTATTAATTAGCTAATTACAGCTGTTCTTATGCGTATATTTACCGGTAAAATTTTGGAAATCTAAAAAATGGAAATTAATATATGGGGGAATTGACAAGTCCC